ATTTTCCACTTGTGAACTGGTATTTACCAGTGTGTTGCGTTCAAGTGCTTTTGTTGTCGTAATGTGGGAGATCCAGACCTGTTATTTAGCTAAAAACTATTTTAGATTGCTTAAGTCATCTGCAACAGCATGATTTATAAAAACTCAAAAGGTAAATTATATTCTGTATCCTATATTTTCTAGATCATGAATAGGCCTAGTATATATTTTTATCTTTCACGACTCTCGCGGTGCTCTCCGCCATTTTGAAAAGATCAAAGGTTATCTCATCTCAGAAACTCATCCATCAAAATATACGACTTGCCCAGTGGAAAATACCACATGAGGGGGTGTTTATGTGCATTTCCCACGTCGGCTTTTGGTATTTACCATAATTACCATAGCACAGGAATGCAGTAAAAGTAAACCCTAGAAATGGTTGTGCGTAAAAATCCCAGTAACTGAGCAGATTGTGAAATACTCACAATCCCAACAACCATGCCACGCTCAAAATTGCTTAAATCCCCTTTCTTTCCCATTCTGACATTCAGTTTGGAGTTCAGGAGATTGTCTTGACCAGGACCACACCCCTAAATGCATTGAAGCAACTGCCATGTGATTGGTTGATTAGATAATTGCATTAATGAGAAATTGAACAGGTGTTCCTAATAATCCTTTAGGTGAGTGTACATTCGCCATGTTGTCATTATCATGTGATCTCACTTGATCTTTGACTTAGAAATGGGTTGTTATGCACCATTGGAATCTAAGCCCGCATCTATATCTGGATAATCACACAACAGCTCCAATTCTGCAAAGCTGGTGTCATCAACCACATGATAAAGCAAAGATTTACCAGTTCAAGCCAGTTTGTGTGTGTCAACAAAAGCTAAAAGCCATAAGCCATGACGCCTGCTGGGTTTCAAAAATGTCTGTGCGTGTGTGTATGTGTGTTTGTTTGCAGGGACGGAAAGCCCACACTGCTTTGGCAGAGAGATAGGGATGTCTTGCATAACACATTGTCCTAATGCAGGTTTTCGATTGGATGTCACAGCATCTGTTGGAAGTTTGCCATGTGCACTGCTGTATTTTATCCAAGCATGTATTACTGTCGTCAAACAGTTATACAGCAGCATGCATCATTTAAATATGGTGCTAAAGCGGCTGACGTTTATGACAGAATGAGAGGAGATATAACAAACATCTTTATATCACTATATAAGAACAAAGTGGCTATTAACGCATTTCAAAACACAGGAGAAAAACACTGCAACTACAATTGTGGCATTTTAAAGTGGAGGTTGACACTGAGACAATTGTGAGAGAAAAATCGATTGGTCATTATCTTGCATGCAGAGAGTCATTTATTATCAATAAAGATGCATCGGATTAATGGTGAGCTGTACAATCATATCTGTGCAGGGGTACAATCATATCTGTAAAACGGGTAGTTACCATGGTGATCCAGGTATAGGCGTGGTTGCAACTGGCCGCTTGTCTTTGGGCAAGATGTCCTCGTCCATACTGACTTTAAAAGGCTCGTCCTGGACACACACACACACACACACCGAAAGGAAAGATTCACCATAAAAGAGCATGATGTTGTCTAAGTGACCGCAATGGCCATGTGAAATTTATATAAATATATATAGTTTATATAATTTATATAATTATACTTAGATCCATGGCAGAAGCAGTTCAAATTCACGAGCGAATTCCATAACAAATTTTGTAAAAATAATTTTAACTTTATTCTCAAAATATTTCGACTTCATTTTCAAAATATTTAGAATTTATTCTCGATATATATTTCGACTTTAAAATCAAAATATTTCGTCTTGAATACTGAAATATTTCGACTTGAATATATAAATATTAATGCTCGAATTTTTTTATTTGTTTATTTTTACTTTTTTTCTGTTGCGGTTCAGTGTTTCCGTAAAATCGTTCCAAGAAAAAAAAAAAAAAAAAAAAATATATATATATATATATATATATATATATATATATTACACATTATTTATGTATTGTTATGCTTATTAGAGTATATATATATATATATATATATATATATATTACATCGCTGTATATTTTCAGTCACTTATGAAATCAAGTCTCTCATTTTAGTTCATTTGCAGCAATGCTTTGGAACAGAGCAGGTGTTTTTTTTTTTCCTTCTATCTGTAATCACGCTGGCGAAGTGGACCTCAATTATCTCACCCCAAACAAGGGTTACAAGGCTAATAATAAAATATAGTGTTGATTATCAACCTGATAAATGGTCTAGATGTGTTCAGCCTTGAACACACACTCGGAAAACAACCAATTACCCAGTCCCTGCATAACCGAATGCTGCAGATTACCGATTCTCCACATACTGTCGGGCTGGAGGTCTTGCACACTCTTTACGGTCAAATGAATTACCGTTCTGGGGGAATTTCACTAATGAATCCGGCTGAGAAGATTTCAAAAGCCGTCACCTATGGGGACACTGTGGTACAGCGCACTTCAACAAAAGCGATTATTAACTCAATCTTAATTGGACTCCAAATCTGATTCTGCCCGTAGTGTGACCTTTTCCACAAATCAGTTCAATATTCTTTCTCCCTCTAAGACAATCCAAAACAATTTTCATGAGGATCAATGTCTGGCAACAAATGAACTGAATGGCAATGGTAATCACGAGGATGTTGGCTAATATCGTTTTAAGAATAGCTAATGAGAGAAAGACAGATTACAAACCTCAGCTTTAGCCTCTGGGTTTGGACCGCGGTGGAGAACTAAGGCGTCTGTGCAGGACGGCTTCTTTAATTCCAGTATCTTATCTGAAGACAGAGATAAATGCTCAATATCCCCTTGTTGCCCATTTTCAGTCCACATTGTTTCTTCAAACAATCTGCACCCAACAGTAAATGTAGTTCAAATAAAAAGAGTAAAAGACAATTCCCTCCAAATGGATGTCAGAGATTCTAATTAAACACTCAAATACTCACTTCATCTACTAATCAAATGGCGTGGCATCCAAATTCATCAATGAAATCCCATTATGAAACACTGCAAATCAGTTTATATGAGAGCTATTTTTCATTGGGGTGCCTTCATTTGCATGTATGAATATATGCTTTTAATTATAGCTATCTTCATATGTGTGAATGGCTGGATTTTTCTCTGCTTGATTGCTATTCCTCATGCAATTCCACCACAGTTAAAAGATTGTGTTTTGTATTTTTCTAATTCAATATTAATCAATCAATTATGAAAATTAAATATTATTGATTGTTAGTGAGATTTGGCTATACTTGTGTAGGTGAAATATTATGACAACGACTAAAAATTTAAAATTGTTAAACATTGTTATATTTAAATGTAGTGTTTTGCACATGTTTCTCTGATGGGTATGTTTAGAATTAGGGCTAGGCCTAAATATAATTCAAATCATATACAATCAATGGAAGTCTTTGTAATTGCCTCACCAATATAAAACAAGCATACATGTATACATTTTAAAGTATTACTACTGCAGTCTAGCTAAGCATAAAAGACAAATTTACTGACCCCAAACTTTTGAATGGTGGTGTATATACAGTATACAGAAAGTGTTGTTTGCTCAGGATGGAAATTGACAGAACATTCAGAAAATCAATAATCTATTAAAAAAAAAGAAAAATCACAAGCAACATCATTACAAGCAACATCAAAAAGTTATCAAAAGACATTGCAACGTTCTAAAGAGCAATTGACAAGCATAAATCTTGTTCCAAAATAAAAAAAAAATAAAAAATAACAGCTGGCAGGTAAATCAATAAAAAAAACTACATATTGAGACTGTCAGTAATGGTAGAAACCACAAAGCCAGTCACTTTAGACAGTTTGAACACACTTAAACTCAATCTGCCCCAAAAATAATTTGCACTTTGTCTCTATGGAAAAGTATGAAATTAGATGTGGCAAGCATAAGGTGGAGTGGAAATCAAATGCACCGCTTGATCATTTGTCCTGCATGAAATTCAACTGAAGCGGGCAGCATACTAAAGCAGCTTAGGATAAAACAACAAAGAAACGTCAGGGAGAAACAGATCCTGCTCAGAGATGTGAAAGGGGATTGCTAAAGGTTGTCTTGATTCTAAAGTCATGTAAAAGGCATGCAAATAATTCAGTGGTATATATGCATATAAAAAAAAAATAGGGATGCACCGATCCACATTTTTTTACTTCCGATCCAATCCCGATACCTGACTTTGGATATCGGCCGATACCGATACTTTTCCGATACTGTGTTTGCTTTAATATTATTATCATTATTGTTGATTTTATATGATTCTGAAATAAACTCCTCTCTAAAGGCAAGTTTGATATGTATGTATGTATGCATGTATATCATCAAAATGAACGAATCTTTTCAATTCGTTCATTTCGTTCGTTGAATGAAGCAAATTTGAGCTTATAAAACTTAAACTTTGTTATTTATTTTAAAAATGAGCGATCGTTTCGCTTGATAAGACCCTTATTCATTGTCTGGAATCGTTTAAAGCCCTTTGAACAGTTTGTAGTTTGCACTGAAACTGTCTTTTTGACCTTGAACCGTTTGGTTACCAGTAAAGTGCATTATATGAAGAAAAATCCTGGAATGTTTTAATCAAAAACATTCATTTCTTTTCGACTAAAGAAAGAATGACATGAATATCTTGGATGACATGGGGCTGAGTAAATTATCAGCAAAAGTTTTTTTTTTTTTAAGTGAACTACTCCTTTAAGCAGACAGTCTATTAATAATCTAATGAGAGTTAGTCGACATGTAGTTGCAATAGAATGTTCAAAAATAACCATCAAAATGAAGTGTTAGCTTTGGTTTTGATATTTGGGATATGGTCATTTAGCTATTTTTCATTGGCCATTGAGTTTTGTTATGAAGACTTGGCAACCCTGGTTGGCACAATGGAAATGCAATTGTGAGAATGCTACTTTAGATTGTATTATATATCATGTGTGTAATCTCACTTGTCGCTCTTTGTCCCTTCCAGTTTCCAGTGAGTAGAGTCACTCCAGGAGCAGAGAGTGACGTTAATGCGGTGATCTGAGAGGGAAGGACGGGTCCCAGCAAGCTCTCCCAGCTTCTACGGGTTCCTGTATGCCACAAAGAAAACATGTAAGTAGATTTTACTATGCAAGAACCACAGAGACATACTGTACTGAGAGAGAGAGAGAAAGACAGAGAATTACTGATAAAACACACTGGTCAGCCATAAATTCAATCCAACTAAATCAAAGGCACAGTATGCAAGTTTTTCAAAACAATAACAACTGAGTGAGTGTGGGATCATGGGAGTTGCCCTTTGACAAAATAGAGTTGTCTCTGAGGCATGGTACAAACATGTTAATCACGTTAAATCAAGAAAATTAGAGATTCAAATAATAAGACTGTAATAATGATTATGTTTTCTGTCAGTGAAGTTATCCGAACAGTTACTCCGCTGTCTAATAAAACACATATATATTAAAGTGTCTTTGGTGTTTCCATGGTTTCTATGGAAGTAAAGGGTAGCGTGGATATGATGTCATTGACAGGCGACGCATTGACATAAATAGCAGATTTCTCTGGATTTTAAACATTGTTGGAAACATTTGGGAGAATGTAAGTACACAAGTGAACAAAACATATAACCTTGTTTAAGTGTTTTTTTCTTTTTGTATAATCCAAATATCTTACATCTTACATATTGTGCCTTTAACGTGGTTCTATATGGTTTTCAACTGGTCCAGCTTAAATAGTGTCGATTACCAGTTGGTAGTGCTGGTTTCTGTCATTTTGGTAAAAAAAAAAAAAAAAAACCTTGACCAGCTTAAGCTGAAATAAGCTGTTTATACAGCAGGGATTGCATTAAACCATGTTATTCCCTATTAAATCTGACCAACTGTGAAAAGTAATACTATTACAGAGATGATGCCAAGGACACTGCAAAATACGCAAACATTATGCAGTCTGGCTATCCGGTTTCCACAAGCCTATAAGGCTATGGAATCAATTCCCAAATCTAAAAAACTGTCATAAACAAACCGACAAGAGGACCAATTAACATTCACTTCATCATGGGGAATCAAAGGAGTGTTTAATTTTACACTCTAACTTATTAATTTCATCAAAGCTTCAATCAAAAGTTCCTCTGACTGGTTAAACACTGAAAATGTTGGAAAAGCTTGAGGCTCTTCTCATCAACCGGGCCATATTTAACCTTTAATTTTCTAGCGTCTGTCCGAATTCTGCTCAACAGACTCTGCTTCTTCATAAAGGTTAATTACATTTGGCTTCAGCTCTGGGCTGGGCATTGCTGAAATCCAGAGGGGTTGACAGATTGTCAGGTTGAATATGTATGTGCCATTTCCAAGAGCACCAAAGCAGATGCATTTTTAAAGCATTTGTGATGTTCTGCTTCACAAAAAAAGGTTGAAGTTATCAAGCTTTCGGGATTGGAAATGATGTTGCCCTTTCTCTGTAGTTGCCCTTTTACGCCACAAATTAAAAACGAACCACTTAAATAGTGTCAATTGAAAGACAAATAATTCTAAATGGATGTTGATATCAATTCGAAACGGAAATAGTAGACCATCCGCGTATCTTTGGGATTTTAAAGGAGTAGTTCACTTTAAAAAAAAAAAACTTTTGCTGATAATTTACTCACCCCCATGTCATCCAAGATGTCCATGTCATTATTTCTTCAGTCGAAAAGAAATTAAGGTTTTTGATGAAAACATTCCAGGATTTTTCTCCATATAATGCACTTTACTGGGAACCAAACGGCTCAAGGTCCAAAAGACAGTTTCAGTGCAAACTGCAAACTGTTCAAAGGACTTTAAATGATTCCAGATGATGAATAAGGAGTTTATCAAGCGAAACGATCACTCATTTAAATAAAAAGAAAAACAGTTTAAGTTTTATAAGCTCAAATGATCACCTTGCTCTGTTCTGTGATGTGCGTTCGTGACTCAAAATGAACTAATCTTTTTCCGAGTCAATTCGTTTGTTGAATGAACCAAATGACACGAAAAAAGATTCGTTCATTTTGATAAACGAGTTCGAACAGGAGAGTCACGAACGTACATCAAGGACAGAGCAAGGCGACCATTTGAGCTTATAAAACTTAAACTTTGTTATTTTTTTTTTTTTAAATGAGCGATCGTTTCACTTGATAAGACCCTTATTCATCGTCTGGAATCGTTTAAAGCCCTTTGAAGCTTCACTGAAACTCTCATTTGGACCTTGAACCGTTTGGTTCCCATTGAAGTCCATTATATGGAGAAAAATCATGGAATGTTTTCATCAAAAACCTTCATTTCCTTTCGACTGAAGAAAGAAAGACATGGACATCTTGGATGACATGGGGGTGAGTAAATTATCAGCAAAAGTGTTTTTTTTTTTTTTTTTTTTAAAGTGAACTACTCCTTTATTTTCAACATACTACGATTTGAGACACACTAATTGTAATTTCAAATACTGTTTAGGACAGATATTTTGTGAGTAGGGGCGCAGCATTCATTCTCAGTCGTGTCCTGTCAATTACTTTTTTTGAAAAGATTAAATGAAGAGATGATGATGAGATCTGCTCATTAAAACATGTAATGGTGCATGAACGCATGATTTGCATCTGTTCTCTTGAAACAATATGGCTGTTCTTGCCACTGTTTCAGATCCAGGAAAGATCTGAAACTCACAAACACAAATGCTGGATTGATAACCTTGGGCAGCTATAGATCATTACTACACTTCATGATGTCTGACTCGTCTCTAGGTTACTGGGCATTAGCTTTCATTTATTTCACTCAAAGCTGCATATGTTGTGATGCTCGTGCTGTTTCGGTACTCTTGAGGACGTGTCTCACACATATCTCATCAATCTTGAATTAGCTGCTTGTCTTACGTATATAAAGATGAGATTGTTTAATGAGAGCAGGCACTCAGGCCTCAGTAAAAAGATGTCTTCCAGCGTAGCCATTAAATAATTAAAAGCGCATGATCAAAAACCTGAAAACTGATTAAAGCCACCAAAATCAACAGCGAGAGTGTAGCGTTCACTGCCTCGGCCCTCGTACTGGTTTTACACTGCTAAATTATAACATGAGTTTGAGTATACTATCTCAATTTTGAGTGAACTGTCTATTTAAACACTTTTTTGTCCTTTAACTTTGAGGATAAAAAAGGATGAATTTGCACTTAAAAGATATAGAGGCGTCCTAAACGTGTCTTTACCCTGAACCGAGCGAAACAGGGTCGATTGGTTGATATTTCGCTTGGGAAGGTTAAGAGACTTTGATGAGTTTTGATGTCAGAACTGATGGGATAGAGGGTGACAAGAGGACATCATTTGTAATCTGTTGTTATGAAGGCATCAGACAGAGCAAGTGAAAGCTTTCAGAATGACCTGTATATGAAAAATGCTTGCTATGGGTGAGAGACAGAGACCTTTACAGTCGACGTGATGCGTGGTGAATGTTAAGGTTAAAATGCAATAACCTAGAACTGTGCGTTCTACAGCTAAACTTTAAAAAAAATAAGGTTCTTTGGCATGGTTTTATAACATCCACCATAGAATCTTTTCATTCCACAAAAGGTTATTTATAGTGGAAAAAGTTTCTTTAGAATATTTAAAGTTGCATTGCGCAACATTTCTTGTTAAAAATACCTGTTTTTCTAACCCATACTTGCCTAAACGATTGCCTGATGGGCTGAATGAGTCATTCTCTGATCACTGCGATTGCCTCTATAATCCTGTACAGTAAAATAAATAAGAGGGATTCGGGAAGGAGTTTGAGACTGGGCGAGACGTCATGCGCGTTCACGCTCGACTGGCAGGTTTGTGTATTCGCCGCCATTCTGCGTATCAGCGAAGACAACTCGAGCGACACAACTTTAGTCAACTTTCCACAAAAGTAGAAGATGGATTCAAAGAGACCGGCTTGTAGTTCTTTCCAAACCCCAACATAAACTCCACGTAAGACAAAGAAAATAAAACTTTCGCTAGTGCCAGGCGTCGGAATAAGACGAGAGTCGACATCGGGAAGCTTTCAACAAATGGAGAGATCTCCAGTCGGCTCTAGGGCTCAAACGGGTCCTATACAAAGTAATAACTTATATTGTTCATGAATGTGTTTTCATGGAGATTGATGGAAACAAAAACTGAAGTTTTCTACTACCCCTGTTTTCCCCTCACACACACACACATAAGTGTGTAATTTACTCAAATACCTTTCCTTTTATATATTTAAAATGACTTGCAGATTTTATAACTGTATTGCTTCTGAAGACATTATGACTGTAACTAGATTTGTGCGGCTGATGCTCCTTTTGTTATGAACAGCTCGTTCAAGCGTGCTTGTGTGTGTGGTCCATGAGCTCGCACACCTCTGGTTGCAGTTTCTCTTGTCGCCAGAGGGGGCGTAGTTCTGCAAAAACTCAGACTCTTGCACCTTTAAATGCTCTTCACTCTAAAATCATAATGATTCCTTTAAAAATTGCTCACTGAAATGTTTTTGGGAACCAAAAACGGTTCTTCTTATTGCATTGCTGCGAAAACACTCACACACAATTTTTATTTTAAAGTGCCTAGGTGTTTTTTATTTGGTTTGAAGTCTTATCCTAATGTTTTCACTTTTCAGGCTAATCCAAGGCTTTGTTCTGAAAAACAAGTGAGCTGTCTTGCCTAATGTAGCCTATACCAGCGTCCAAAAAGAAATGAAACCTCACACAGGTAAGTTACAATTTTAAGTGTTCTACTTAGCTGTGCACGGGAGACTCATAATTGATTCCAATAGAGTTTGACATTAGCATGTTGCTAGGCTAATGATGCATGAGAATACACAACACACACAGACAACAGCATCATTTAACCTAATACATTCGTGCTGCAGGAATGCGTCATTTTTTGCACTTCCCGTTTCATCATCCAGATGTCAATTGGGTTTTGAATCCTTTTACTTTTAATTCAAGGACTAAAATACATCAGTAAACCCCACATGTGATTTGTCTAAGCTTTTAAGTGTCTTAAAAAAGGTGGTTTGCTAACAAGAGGCTAAATGAGACTAGGCTGTAGGAGACATCAAACGTAAATTCATATACTCACTCGTCCGCTTTATATTTGCATTCTTGTAAAATATTCTCAAACATTCCAACTTTTAATAAAGAGAGAAAAATCTGGAAAAAATGAAACTGGTTTAGTTTGCTTATAGCCTAACTTAAGCATTTTCTTGAAATTGTATTTTTAGAATTCATAAATGTGTGTATTTTAAACTATTATAAGAACATTTTTTTTCCAAAAAGCATTAGCAAAAATCCACGGTGATGATAACTTGGTTGTCCTATAAAAAGACATCAACTCTGCAGCACTCTATGCATTATAGGAGAGACATCTTTGCAAATAATACATACTGTATAATGCTGTCTAAGTACTGTATACAGTGTGCTAAAAATAAGTATTTTACAAGGCAGCATTAGGCAAAAAAAAATGCCTATGTAGGCAGCTCACTAAGCTCTAAGCGTCTAAACATTTTCTCCTTACTACTATCCATAGTTTTTTTTTTACCCACACAAAAACAATTATCATGCAACTGTCTGAGAATGTCTTTCTACAAAAGGAATAGAAAAAGTACAGTCTCATCCATGTGAGTGACTGGCAAAGCAATGTGTGAAAAGCTTTTAGCATATTGCAGCGAGGATCTGTAAATTTCAAAAATGCCGACCTGAAATATGCACATATCCATTTACAAATATCCGAACAGACCACATCTTTTATCATATTATGCATTTGTCAAAAGAGGTGAACTCCAATGCACCCATTGTGTATCCCACTAATTTGTATCAATTTACAGTTCCTGTCATGCTCATACGACCGAGAGAATAATAAATGTTTATTTATTTGGGAAGCAGAATGGCCTCTTCATTATGAATGAGAATGTATTGCTACTGTTGACACTAGACCTTGAAGCCCCTTACTTGATCGTATCTGCCCACCAAGACGTTTCTCTGGCCTCACCCATCAGACACGCTTCTGTAACTTCTGATTATATTCACTCAGCCGGGTAGCTGGTCAATTTTTATGGACCCTTTATCACGTCGCCAGCCCTTTTAAACAAGATAACCACCATGAAGGTGCTATCTAATCATATTCAATGTGGATGTGCAAATTTGGCTCGGTAGTTATTAGGGAAAAAAAAAACATGCATCACGTTACTGTAAGTCAAGATAGTTGATCATGTTATGAAGTTTAGTATAAAAAAATCTAATCAGTTTTATAGCAATTCATTCACACATTAAAAGTTACTTTTAGAAAAATCTGGTATCTTTTGTTTGTTTTGTTTGCCGTATCTGACTCAATCTGTTAAATTTGTGTACTGAGCAAAAACACTATCCTACGTGTCAACTAAATGTCTGCTTAATATCTGCTAACATTTATTTACATTACATTTACAATCTTCTAACAGTCTAATACACAATACAGTCTACTAATACTCTAATAAAAGTTAGTTGACATGTAGTAGCAAAGTTACTTATAGTAGAATGACCATCGACATGAAGTGTAACCTTTAAAGGAGTAAAGAAAGTAAGTCAGTCGGAAAGAAATTAAGGTTTTTGATGAAAACATTCCAGGATTTTTCTCCATATAATGGACTTCATTGGGAACCAAACGGTTCAAGGTCCAAATGAGAGTTTCAGTGCAGCTTCAAAGGGCTTTAAACGACACCAGACGATGAATAAGGGTCTTATCAAGCGAAACGATCGCTCATTTCAAAAATAAATACAAAAGTTTAAGTTTTATAAGCACAAATGCTCACCTTGCTCTGTTCTGTGATGAGCTTTCGTGACTCTCCTGTTCGAACTCGTTCATCAAAATGAGACTCAAAGGGTCCTAGATAAGACCCTTATTCATCGTCTGGTGTCGTTTTAAGCCCTTTGAAGCTGCACTGAAACTCTCATTTGGACCTTGAACCGTTTGGTTCCCAATTAAGTCCATTATATGGAGAAAATCCTGGAATGTTTTCATCAAAAACCTTAATTTCTTTCCGACTGAAGAAAGAAAGACGTGGACATCTTGGACGACATGGGGGCTGAGTAAATTATCAGCAAAAGTTTTTTTGTGAACTACTCCTTTAAAATGACTGTTGGCAAAGCTGAATTTTCAGCATCACATAAAATCATTACTCATTTTTCAGTGTCACATGATCCTTCAGAAATCATTCTATATTTAAAAGACTTTTCAAGTTACTTGAGTTTAAAGTCCCAAAACACCTTATGGGGCATTTGAACATTCAGCTCTGATATCATTGTAGTTCAGGTTTAATGTGCTCACCATATAAATCACCTTTCTGTCTCTCGCTCTATCAAACTCTAGGGAACAATAATGACGCTTTTATTTACATATAATGTGCAATAACATCACACGCTGTGAGATAATTAAACCTACGGCTTCAAAACTCATAATCCATTTTTGTGAGTCACGTTATTTACGACAGACTGGGTGTCTCCGAGCACTGGATACCTCTCCCTTCCATTTCAATCCTCTCTCTGCCAAAACATCTCGTATCAAAGAAACAAAGGAATAAAATGTGACCTAGTTGAGTCCCACGGCACATCAAACACAAATCAGAATCAATGAGCGAAGACGTGCGGCGCATCTGCCAAGAATTGCGAGCATTTTAACTCCGGAGACTCCCGTCGGCCTTAAGACGCAACCGAACCGAAGGCTTCATTCTTTTTTTTTTGGGGGGGGGGGAGGCATCAAGAACTCCGTCTTGTGAGTTAAACCGAGCGGCCTTAGGGGAAGAGTGTTTTTTTTGGAGAGATGAGTTGAATGTTGAAAGCTGTGCTTAAACTCTTTCTTTAATTAATTCTGGGAATAATTATGAAAAGACCAGTGTGGGTTGGAGTTTAGTGCCTGGGAGATTTAGGTTATCTGGGTGTAGGCCCACTAAAAACAAAATGAATTTTATATTTGACATCATCAGCCTACGATCCTTTGATTGGATAATGGGTTTTGCTTTTAACTATTATTGCATTCATTATTGTAGCCCAAACTAATCCCAGTTATAATATCCATGAAATTGATATACGCTATCAGATACAGCTTCTGAAGGCTTCTAAGATTTCTCGAGTTCAACTTTCTGAAGTTGTGGAGATGCAACCAATGCTGTCAATCCAAATTTCTAGTTTGTCATGGCAGCCAAAGTGAGGCTCTTACCTCTTTTAGGCTGTCATGCGACGACGGTCCGCTTCTAAACATTGAAGATGAATTCTTGTTTGCTATATTGCCCTGTCATATAAAAATGACAACACAATTTCACAAGCTCTCATCATTGCAGCACTTCGGCATTGCCCTGTGTTCAATATCTCTCCCTGTAATTTTCTCATCAAGTGGCACTTTAATCAGTCTTATTTCTATATTTGGCAAAACTGATTGAAATACTGTTTTATACAATCACAAAATTGCACATAAACACATTAACGCACATGACATGTACACACACTGGCAAGAGTTGTCGACCTATGCTTTCAGATACTGATCTGCCATTCTCAGGTTTTGAAGGATGTCACGACTCAGCAGTGCATTGTGGGAGGCCAATCAGACCTGTCGCGCCAAGGTTGCCACCCCTGGCCTTACTAATCTCCCCAAACAGATCCGTCTAAAGATCGGGTAAACAAAGGGCTTCAGATGCGTGACATTAATTTGGGATTACACGGATCAGCAGGACCACAAAAACCCAAGGAAACAGGGAAAGTGAGGGACTCAAAATGCAGTCTAATTTTGGGGAATTATTGTTCCATTGGGCCTTCTTTTTTTGGACTTTAATGGGATGAAAATTGTGTCATTATTTATTCACCCGATCCAAACCCTTTATGACTTTATTTTGTGGAACATAAAAGAAGATCGTTTGGAAAAAATATATATATTGTCCATATAATAAAAGTCAGCAGGGCGGCATAACCATGGCACTAACCATGGCATCATCAATGTATTGGTTCAAACAGATGGATGACACCTGGGTTGAGATCAAAAAAAAGGCATACAAATGCAGAATGCATCCACTAAATGGACATATACACTAAGCACATATGGGAAGATGTGCAAGAGAACAAATTGGCCTTTTTGGACTCACCAGTTTAAATAAAAGAGGGCAGCATAGAGGAAATCAAAGTCTACAAGAAACACGAATCAATACCTACTGTTCGATTTAGATAACCCACTGGAACAAACATTCAGAAGACTTTACTTCTGGGGCAAATAATGGGCAAACCAGCTCAGCCTTTTGAAACAAGAAAGCTAAATTCTTCAAAAGACTAATTAAAACTCTGAGCATTGGTAACTAGAACCAATAGGTCTAGTAAGTAGGGTTGGGTATCGTTTGAATTTGAACGATTCTGATTCCGATTCCTTGTTTCGATTCCGGTTCCTAACGATACTCGATTCCGATTCTTTTAAGAGGCAGGGTCAGAAAAGTTTAGCTAACCTTGCTAACCAACGGCCTTTCTGAAGGAAATAATCCTTTCTGAAGGAAATACTCCTGTAAAAATACTCCTTTTGTCACAAATTTTGCATTTCGTTATTTTTAGAAAAGTGAAGCCACACTTTGGATCGCCGACGTAAGGTACTCATGTTCGACTTTCGTGGTTATGCCAACACTTCCGGTAGACGCTTCTTCGTTGGTGTTGTTCAGCGGTTTCTTCTTCCGCTCGGCGGACTGTGAATATCGAAACTAT